CATGCATGTGCCTCGAGGGTCAAAGCGATTTGTTACCCACCTTCGGAGCATACTCTGCGTCGTTGAAAGGATGAAGCGTAAATTATCGATTTTAATTGATTCAGCTAGTTTATCAAGTAAGGATAATCAAGGAAGAGTCTCTTCAGATTTCAAAAATAAGGCACATTCTTCACAGTCTTCAAAAGACAGAGAACGTAAAGGCAATGATGGAACTAGAAAGACTGAAAACTCACATAAATCTCACGGCCGAGAATTTTCAAAAGAAAATGGCAACCCGAGTTCATTACATGATTCCGTAGGAATTCATTCCAGACATGGAGAATCTAGGGCTAAAGTGGATAATTCTCGTAGAATGCCCATTAGTACACCGTATTCGAAAGTTGAGAGACAGAGGATCCAGTCCTTATTCAAAAGGCAGATGAGTTTAATAACTCAACAAATTATTCAACAAAATGATCAGGACAAGCATCCTAAATCTGGGAAGCACTCTGGTGCCAAACTGAAACTTGAAAAGTTCCAACAAAGTAGACCGAACTTAGAACATCTTACAACTTTGGAAGACATGGAAAACTTTTTGGAACTCTTGAAAACGAAGAAGGGAGAAAAAATAACACCAATCGACTTGATACAAAATTATCAAAAGAAACACGTCTTAAAATTTACCACCAAAAAGAGAAGTTCAACTCCTCGTGCACGAACGCTGCCTGTATTATTGACTGGTTCAAAAGAAGATGAGGATGTCGTTCCCATAGAAGTGATAAAACCGAAAAATAATCCCTTACAAGTTCATAATTCCAAGAAAATGAACAAGACGGAAAACTAACCGTTACTCCGGACAAAATTTGTCAACAAAAAGAAAAATTAGAGGAAAAAGTATTAAGAAACGAGAAGAAACACGAATTGAATGGGATATTAGAAAAGCAGCAAGGGAAATGTAATTCCAGCAATTCTTCAAACACAACAGAATTTTCCAAGTCAGAACAGTTAAACCCTAAAGAACAAAAGGACGGTAAAAGTAAAACAAAAAGCGAGAAAGCGGACAATGTTTCGCGAGAACATTCTGAAGGAATCGAAATCTGGAAAGGAGAAAGCGTTCCTTCATCCAAGGAAGTAATTGATTCTTCTTCGGTTAAAAGAAATTCAAAAGGGATGAAACGCAGCGAAACTCTCTTTCATTCGAGAGCTTCAGATTCCGAAAGAGATTCGCGGGAAATATTCCTTGGAGAATTCCAAAAAACGAATAATAAGGAAAAAGAATTCTCAGCCTAAATCATCCGAATCAGATAGTGATTCGCAAAGGGATCAAATTCTTAAGAAACGAAAAAGAAATGAAAGAGACGACGATTCTAGCCGTAAATTATCCTCCACCGAGCCAGAGAAAGGAGTGGTATCGGGGAGAAAATCTAGAACAAGATATCGCTCTGACGTCGAAGAAGTAATCGATGGTGTCGATGAAAAACTTCCAGAAGAATTGACTAAAAAGCTATTCATAGTGGGTGACAAAAACTTAGCTATACTCGACAAGCATTTTTGTGTTAAAGTAAAGGGCGATCAGATATTTCTGAAGAAAGTCGGTAAATCAAAGAAAAGCCGACGTCATCGAAGCAGGAGGTCTTCGAGTTCCCGCCAAAGATCCCAAGAGAATAAAGAAACTCACGAAAGAAAGAATTACAAAAGAACAGACGCAGAGATGGTTTCAGATACGGAAAACGCAGGACCGACGCTGGAAGAAATGGAAGATTTTCTGCAACAACTGCGAGCTAAGAAGATTCCCAGAGAAAAGCAGGAAGAAGAACCACTGCCGAGTCAGCAAAGTCGCGAAATGAAGTTCATGGCGAGAATACAAGCGAAGAGAAGGCAAAACTCATGGCCTGCGTGTCCTCGACGCCAAATATTTCGGAAAAAGAGGCCAAGTTCTTGAAAGATCTCGAAAATCGATCCGGAAACCCATGCGATTCGCCCGACACAGAAAGCAAGAAACAGAAGCTGATGGAAAAGATTCGTGCGGAAACCGATTATATTCTTTTGTCTCAAAAACAATCAGCAGTTCTTGAGGATGACCCACTGAGCGACGTGAAGACGTTCTTGAGCATGATTAAAGAGGCAGAATCTGCCAATGACGACAACTCGAAGCAGTTTTACGTTTCTTTTTCGCTTAAACGCTCTGATGTCAAAAAACTTGAGAATATAACGGAGGGAAAGGCATCGGCTTTGTCTGAAGAATCGCAACGCTTGCTCAACAGTGTCAGGGCTAAAATGAGAGCCAAGAAAGCACCTGTGCTCATGGTCAGTGAAGAGGTTAACAATGAATCATAAAATGAATCCTCGGTATTGTGAATGCTTTAAAACCTACAAACAAACCTTTTTGTTAACTGACATTCATTTTTACAATTCATTTTGTATTTCAATGGATTTATCATGCGTGAAGACGAAAAAAAAAAAGTTTTCAATCAATGTAATGTTAAAAAAACAGATAGAGATATATATTTTGAAGTTGCATTTATAATTGTGAAACAACAGCTGAAATTTTTCCAAATAAAATTTAATGTCGTATTTGTCAATGGTATTTAAAGCAGTTACTTCGTGCAGCATTTTCCATATCACTCTTTTTAACATATCTCCGCAATGATAAAAAAAAATATTAAATATAAGGAAAACTTTAAAGAAATTACGCGTTACTTTATTATTATTGTTTGTCACTTTATTCTTATTATTTTAATAAGAGCTTTTAAAAAAAAATTTAGAATATTTTTTTTAAAAAAATTCTTTTATGAAATAACATTGGGAAAACTTCCAAACAATAAAAATTCATCAAAATTTAAAAAGGGACTAACGCGTATTAAATGGATCGAGGTTAAATGAGTTAAAACTTTCAAAAAATTGTCATATGAATTGCAATTTGCAGCATTGAGAAATTGCATTTTAAAGTGAACAATTTTACTTTCAGTAATGCATACCAGTACCATATAGTTTGGATTGCTATAATATATATATATTTCTAACTAATTTAGATTAAAAATTTAAATTATATAAGAAACAGAATAAATTAAAGTTTATTTTTTTTAATAAAAATTAAAAAATCCATTTTTTTTCACCAATTTTGGTGAAACGTCCAACTTACCAACTGTCTTGAAACCAATTATTTCGAGTTAAAATTTTAAAAATAATACATATATACATTAGGAAATTTTTTAAAAATTCTATTTTCCTGTTAAATGCAAAGCAGAGATGAGAAATTCTAATTACGGTTAACACAACTGATGCTTAACCTCTAAAACTCTGATGCAGTTGCAATTTACTTGCATAGGCTTGACCTTATTCAATTACTTATAATAGAGGTTTTTTAGCAGTGTTGACACGGCTAGCTAATATACACTGGTGTGCAAAACTTAAGTAACAATGTAAAAATTTAGCAGATAGCCATTAAATTGCAGAAAAGGAGGTCTGGAGATCAGTACAATGAACACGTAAGTCAGTAGAAACGTCATGCGTATGCAAATATCAGGAACAAAACGTCAGAAGCGATGTGAGCGTACGCAAAACGCGTGATGTCGGCGCGCGCTGCTCAACAGTAGAATGAAATGAAGGACGGAGACGCAATTCACCATATTCTCTGCAAGTGCCAGTGAGTCAGTTCGTGAAATATGGCTAGAAGAAATCACCTGGACGACTTCACACGTGGAAGAATGATCGGAAAGCTGGAGGAGGGGCTTACTGACACCAGTGTAGCTGCTGAGTTCGGAATCAACAAAAGTATCGTTTCGCGCGCTTGAAAAGCGTTCCAAGCCACTGGTACAGCTGTTAGAAAGGTTGGTGGTAGCCACCCGAGGACGACAACTGCAGGGATGACCGATATATAATCCTGCGGGCGAAAAGAGGTCGACAGCAGTCAGCAAGCACCATTGCTCAGAAACTCTGTACAGCAACGGGTTGACAAGTGGTAGCCAGACGCCTTCACAAAGGGAGCCTGTTCGCCCGCCGTCCTGAACGCTGCCTCCCGTTGAAAGTTGGCCACCAAAGCCACCATTTACAGTGGGCCAGAGAGCACAAAAACTGGACAACTGATCAATGGAGTCATGTCCTCTTTACGGATAAGAGTCGGTTCAGTACCAGAAGCGATTCTCAACGCGTTTTGATTTGGAGAGAGATCGGGACCCGGTTTTATCCCAGTAACATCAAGGAAAGACACCGTAACGGTGGTCCTGGAGCTTGTCTGGGGAGGCATTATGCTGAACGGGCGAACTGAGCTTCATATTTTCGACAGAGGGTCTGTAACCGGGGATCGCTATTGTGAGGAGGTACTTCTTCCCCATTTGCGTCTTCTCCGAGGTGCCATTGGCTCAGACTTCATTTTTATGGATGGCAATGCACAGCCACATCGCACTCTTGCTGTTGAGGAGCTGCTGGAAAGTGAAGATATCACTCGAATGGATTGGGCAGCATGCTCCCCAGATTTAAATCTCATCGAACATGTGTGGGATGCTTTGGGGAGACGTATTGCCACACGCTTACATCATCCGGAGAACAACCAACAACTCAAACAGATGTTGATTGAGGAATGGGCACTCCTACCTCAAGAAATGTTGCACCAGCTGGTTCTAAGTATGCGGAGACGGTGCGAAGCAACCATTGTAGTAAGGGGAGGGCATATACCATGTTAAGGAACATCTGCTTGTTGTTCTTCCTGTTGGATAGACAATCATGAGTCACGATACTATGCGTTCAATAAAGCTTGTTTTTGTTTGATTAAATACCGTATGCGTTGTATTCCTTTTCACCACCGATGCTTTCGTCATCCTTAAGTACATAATATCTCCTCATTTCAGAAACATTTCTCTAGATGATTTTTTCTTGAAGTTATGGCAATAAATCCCCCTGTTGCTTAAGTTTTGCACACCAGTGTATATTAGGGTTTATTTAGTCATTACAGCACAGATTAAATAAACAAAAGGAATAGATATATAACGGTATCTACGTAAGCTAGTAATAACGACAGGGATGATCACTTTTGTCTAGTGGTCATGTTAATCGGCTACGAATCCATAGGTCGTGGGTTCTATCCCCCACAAGTATCGCGTTACATGATCTATATCAGGGTTGGCCAACCACCCAAATTACCTCGCTGGCCGCTTCAGAAAAACTTTACAATCCTGCGGACCGCATATAAAAATATATATCTTTATATTAGATTTGGATCCATTACAAACATTTGTTGAAGTGAAAATTTAAAACAGACTGATATATTATTATTGTTTATCATCTATACAAACATATATAATATAATTATAATAATGCAATGATTAAATAATGTTTAATTTATTTAATTAGTGAGATACCTCTGTTTCTCAACTCATTTCACTTAGTTTTCGCAAGTCGATCATAATGCATGTGTATTTGCGTATCGTAACTGATGTACCAAATTTCCTTGCGTTAAGTTTGAGCACGATTTATGTTTGATAAATTTCCATTTAGGGGAGAGATTCGCATTAACAGAAGCAACGTGATAAAGTAATAGCTGGTTATGAGATTTATTTTTCAAAAATTCCTTAAACAAAAATAATGTACAAAATAGTCGAATTTTGTAAAGTTGTAAATCTCGCGGGCCGCAAAATTATTGAAGGAGGGCCACGGGTTGGACACCTCTGATCTATATATATAAAAATGGATGTTTGTATTTATGAAATCGCATCACTCCAACACACACCGTTCAACCGACCAGTACGAAAATTAGCATTTATATGTATTTTTTTAAAGAAAGTTTTTGTGCTATCCTCTTTGTTGCAGCTCTCCACCAGGTAGCGCTGCTGCATATAAACTTCAGCACCATTCAATCAATCGCCAAGTTGCCAACAGGGTCACCAAAAATGATGCCAACTTGGCTCTATCGCCAACATTTCGTTATGTTTCCATTGAATCGCCACTTTAATGTAAGGAACGGCATTGTGTGCTTGCGAATATTAAAATGAAAATGCGAAATGAATTAACGAAATAAATTCAACAGAAAGTAATATCAACGTATTATACATCCAGATATAAATTATATGCACTATTTTAAGCGTTCATTACACAAAATGTGTAACAATGCGTTAATTTTGCTGAGCAGAGATCAGCTTAAGAAGGTGTTTTCAAAAATCGACCCACAAAAGAGTTACGGAGCGTTATAAATAAAAAAAATATATATCCTTTTTATCAGCTATTAGATCTACAGACTTAAAATTTAACAAATATGTTTTTTTTTCTCGTTCAGCTGAGAAATGCAAAAAGCTTTTTTCTGTTGTTGTTTAATTTGCATTTCATGTAAAATTAATTCATTAAACTCTTCTTTATCCTTCAATCTCTATTGTTTATTTTTTCAATTCACCCGTGCGAAGAACGGGTATACCAGCTATTTATATCTAAAAACAGCCTAGCTGCTGTTAATACCAGGATTAGAGTTAAACTGAGTCTCCCTCTGAGTCCGCTAGACTAATTAGATCCGTTACACTTGATATATCCATTGAAACTGCCAATGCGAAGAGTGATCACAATACAGTTATCTTCACTAAAATTATAAAACGAATTTAGATTTACTATTCTTTCATATATTTGAACGGTACTTACGTATTATCGCAACAATCGTCAATTCTTTTAATCCCTCGCCAAGTTGGCAACCCCGATTTCCTATGTGTCGCAAGCACTGAATTAGCAACCAGGTGCTTCGTTTCATATAATGTTGCCAATAGGTTGGAATAATACGTAAGTACCATATGAACTTATTACCATTAATATTTAATTGGTTACCAGTAACGTATTTGGAGTAAAATTATTTTAAAAAATCTGAATGTACCGATGTATTGATTAAATATACTGATAGTAATTATAAGATTTAACTGTATGAAAAACTGAAATTATAAAAATATATTAGCATTTTATATAAATTAATTCGGTAGATAAATATACTGCAACAAGAGATACTTTCCAAATGTCTTACTTTTAAATATATTTTTGTTTAATTTTTAATAGGAATATTAGCCTCAATATTGATATACATTGTTGAATCCAGTTCGGTTATTGATTAAAAACATGTTTTGAACAAAATATGATCGGCTTTTTTTTTTATTTCTGTGAACTATGAAACAGGCAATAAAAACACAAGAAATTGGAAAACAACTGTTTCAAAGGCATGTAAATTGAATCACTTTTTGTTAGAAAAGTTTTATATATATATATATTCCGTGATAAAAATATAAAACCAAAAGATCATTTTATGAAGTTGCTTCGTCGTATTTTGTAGACTGTTATTATGTTAGGTAAAAAAACAAATCTTTTACAACGTTAAGCCTTTTTTAATTCCTATATTATCAGTTCACTCTCTCCATATATATATATATATATATATAAGAATATATTTTTTATACATATGCATGTTCAAATTTTCAATCGTTAATAAAATATTTTTTATTCATCACTGTGCAGTTCAAATACAATTTTTTAAACTTGTTGTGGATGACACTTGAGGTTTTTTCATTTTTTTCAAATATTAATTCACATTAAGTGGGGCTTTTTATTTTTTAACTAGAATTTATTCTACGTTATTTCTGAAGTTAAAAGATGCTTAACAGATGGCACCAGTAAGTTTTCTAACGAATTTTTTCTTGGTTTCAAATATATTTTTTTAACTTGTAGTGGATAACACTTGATGTTCATACAGTTTTTTTTTCAAATATTAATTCATTAATTAAATTTCATTAACTAAAATAAAGATTTTCTTTGTTGATCTAAGTAGGAATTGACTTAATTTTTTTTATATATTAGTTGTTATTGGTCGTTTCGTGCATCCGCTTGTGTCGGGGTGCAACTCTCGACTCCTACTTCTTACAACATTATTACAGGTGGCGCTGCAGTGCAATGTTGCTATAGGTGATGTAACAGAAGTCTATTTATTTTTCCTTGTCAATGAGTAAATAAAAATAAAGTATAGTTATACAACATAAAAAATCAGAATAACCTCGTCTTTACTAATATTTATAATTAATTATAATTATTATAATCATTTTAAAATTGAGGTCATGAAAATAGCTAAATTATAAATATATAATTATTAATAGCTAAATTATTACCGTAACAAAAAATACAGACTTAATTGGAAAAGCTTACATTATTCCAAAATGAAATAAAATAAAAATATTCATTAAACTTAACATCAAATCGATTCAAAAATGAAAAAAAAAAAATTACTCACTATGAAAATGGACGTGGCAAAAATTAAAATGGAACGGTCTTCAACTAAAACCTTTTTGTAAAATTTCTTTCACTATTCAATTAACTTAATGAAAGAAATTTCATTGCACATTATGTATGTTTAATTTTTACAACTATCGATGTTTTTAATTATTAGAAATAACAGAGAGACATTAAAAAATTAATATATGGTATGCTGTACGACATATTGCAGTATATATGGTAATGCATTAAAAGATGACAATGATTTAAACATTTTAAAGTGTTTGCAACAACATTCGGTAACAATCTATGCTCGTAGTGGTTGCGGAATTAAATTTCCTACAAAAAATTAGCACTTAGAAATATATTTTATTATACACAGAGTATTAAGTTTTGCAGCAAAATAAATGTGATAACGTAATAATTCATAGAAAATAAAATAATTATTCCTACAGTTTATTCGATTTTTATAAATCCGTTGTTGATGCAGATTTGATTGTTCATTAAACTTTAAAAAATACGCTGTTTTTGTTGTTTCTGATGTCATCTGTTTGACGGTTAAAAAAATAATAAATGCCAGTATTACGTCTTGAATATAATACAGAAGATTGAGAACATAACTCTTTTAATTTCAAGCAAACATTCCAACATTTTTACACAGCAATGAATTTGTAAGATTTGTAATTTGTATGATATAATGCCAGGCAAAAAGAATAATGATAAAAAGAGAAAATGCATTAAAATAGATTTTTATTTTAATTTAATATGATAAATTAAAAAAAATTTAAATCTTAATAAATTCAAAAGAAGTACACTTTTCTTGTGCCAAACGATTAAACAAAACAAACTAATAAGAATATTACAAGAACAAGCGTTGGGTAGAATTCGGATCAATTTCCAAACTCAGTTCATGATTTTTTTCCCCTCAAAGAAAATTACCTTGCAAAAAACAATTTTTTTTTTAATCGAAAAAGTGACCTAAAATATGATCTGCGCATATTGCATCAAATGGCTTATAATTCATTTTTATTCTTTATTAACAAAACCAACCGTTCATTTTTCAAGATCCGAATATAAGGAAAGGAATAACTGTGAAAAGTGTTCTATTATTTTTACTTTGAAAAATGGCTCCAAAGTGCGCTATTTGTTACATCTTCGTCTTGTCGTCTGCTAAATTTCGCGAAGAAAAGCGTGATCAGCTTTAGCTCATGTGAAGCTTCTGAACATTTCTCTCTCTGCAGTTTTATTTTTTTACAAAAAATTTTTTTAAAAAAAAGAAACTAAAGCGAGTCATAAAATAAATAAATATCCAGACTCCTCCCTAACTTTCTTTTTATATAAATGTATACTGAGTCTGAGAGAAAGGGGGAAAAAAAGGAAAATAAATCAGAGGGAAAAAAGTTTACTGTCTTGAAGGGAAAAGTAAACGTAAGCTTCTTTTCGTAACGAAGTTGTCGTTTATTGATGGACAAAAAAGCAGTTCTCCCATTTTCATTTCTCGTTTTTTTCCCGTGTATTTTTTCCAAGATGGCCGATAGTAAAAAGATAAACGAAAATTGCTAGTTCAAAAAAAATAAATAAAGATTATTGATCCTTCTTTTGACTTGACATTTTGTCTCTTACCACCTACGAAAATGTTTCGCACTCTTTTTAGTCTTGTTCTCACACTTTTTTTTTGTATGTCTATGGTTGCATTTCCAGTAAAAAAAAAAAGAAAAAAAATTTGAAAAAAAAAAGAACTTTTTTTCAGAGTTTGGAAGCAATATATTCTTTTCAAACAAACCTTCCTTTTAATTCAGAACGTATTTATTTACTTTTTTAAAAGCAGATTTTTCAATCTTATTTTTTGTGCTTTAGAGTTCGTAATGAATAT